AGACTCACTCTGTTCCAGGCTATTATTTTTGGTGGTGCTAAGGGTCCCTCTTCTCAGCTCGATTTCCTCCAGTTTTAATCTCGAGTGAGATAAAAGGGAGCTCTGGGGGTGAGGGTGAGGGAAATGGAAAGAATTTGTTCTTGAAAACAATGTATTTGAATTCTGTAAACAAACTAGTCGTTGTTGTTGTTGTTGTTAAGTGCCGTGGAGTCATAGGCGACTCAGAGCGACAGTAAACTAGTAAACTAGTTGTTATGTGCCGTCGAGTAGAAATTAAAAATTTTAAAAAGGGAGTTCTGGTGGCCTAGGGTAAGAAACTGTGCTGCAATCCTAAAGGCATTTGGTTTGAATTCAGATGTTCTGTGGGAGAAGCATGAGCAGTCTCCTCTCATGCTCCATCTACAGCCTCTGAAAACGTGCTGGAGGGTTAGCTATGAGTCAACAACAGCAAGAGTGAGCTAAAAGGTATGACAAGTTACACCTTGGAACTCCCTTTACCTCCAGCTAGGGTTGTGATGGAACTAGGGAATGTTCTGAGTCTCCGTCTGACATACTCTGGGCATGTTGCAAGGAGGGACCAGTCCTTGGAGAGGGACATCATGCTTGGAAGAGTGGAGGGACGGAAAAAGAGAGGGAAACCATTGATGAGATGGCTTGATACAGTGACTGGGTTAATGAGGGTAGGTGGATCAGAGACAGTAAAGTTGGCACAGGATAGAACAGGTTTCAGGGCTGTTGTACATAGGGTCGCTATGAGTAGCAAGCAACTCAACAGCACATAACAACAACAACAGGGAATGTTGCATTCCACCCTTAATCTTCCTACAGCTCTTTGGTTTAACAGGAACAAAGGAGATCATATATAGTTTCCACATTATATGCATGCATTTTGGGGACCTAATCAACCCAGGACAGTTTCTCAGGATGCCAACTGGAGTCCCTGCTGTCAGAATTGACTTTTTTTTTTTTAAATTTTTTTGTGAGTGTACCGTCAAATCAGATCTGACTGGCACAGGAGGAGATTGTCCCTCCTTTCCCGGCAGAGCATCTGGTGGATTTGAACCGTGAGCCTCTGTGATTGTAGTTGCAGCTCCTTCCCACTAGGCCACCAGAGCTCCCCAGAATTGACTTTTATGTGATCTCGTTTATTAAGTCATAGAAGTCTCCTTGTTGGTACAAAGCTCCTTGAAGGCGGAACATTGGGTTTTATTTTATTTTATTTGTTAGTTTTTATGTGAAGACTCATCACACTTTAGCTGCATTTCAGTATCAGAACATGTCCCTTTATATATCTATGCCCATTTACCCTTAGGCCTCTTTTTATTTGGGACACAGAGAATGAAAATTGATGGTTTAATTGCTAAAGTAATTTAAGAAGCTACAGTAAAAAAATTTTTTTTGAAGGTACAGTAAAGGTCTGAATTATTGAGACTCCTTCTTTCTCATTGCTATAGTTGGAACTGACTCATAGTTGACCCTCCAGTGGGTTTTTTGATGCAATAAATCATACAGGAGGAGATTGCCCATCCTTTTGCTCAAGAGCAACTGGTGCTTTTTTTTTTTTTTTACTTTATTATTTTTGTGTGAGTGTAACGTCAAATCAGATCTGACTGATACAGGAGGAGATTGTCCCTCCTTTCCCGGCAGAGCATCTGGTGGATTCGAACCATGCGCCTCTGGGATTGTAGTTGCATCTCCTTGCCACTAGGCCACCAGAGCTCCCCTGCAACTGGTGCTTTTGAGATTGTAATGTAGCTTCTTACAACTAGGTCACCAGAGCTTCTTTTAATTACTTTGTTGTTGTTGTTGTTAGACACAACAACATAACATTGAGTACAACTCATAGTGACACTCTGAACAGCCAACCTTAACCCTACCTTATCCTGTACCATCTTTGACACACCAGAGCTCATTGCTGAAGTTACTGTGTCAAATCTATCTCATTGGGGGTCTTCCTCTTCTTCATTGATCCTCCATTTTTCCAAGCATGATGCCCCTTTCGAAGAAACAGCGGCACCTAGCTGTTATTGTTATGTGCGTTGAGTCACTTGCGACTCATAGCGACCCTATGGACAACAGCCCTAAACTCTCTGCTCTGTCCTGTGCCACTGTCTCCTACACACCCATGCCTATTACCCCAGTCACTGAATCAATCCACCTCATAGAGGGCCTTCCTCTCCTGCACTGTCCCTCCACCCTCCCAAGCATGATATGTCTCTCCAAGGACCGGTGGGTCCCTCCTTACAACATGTCCAAAGTATGTTAGATGAAGCCTCAGAATCCTTGCCTCCGAGGAGCCGCTCAGTTTAACCCTCTCCAGGATGAATCTGTTTGTTTTCCTAGCAGTCCATGGTACCCTCAACACTCTTCTCCAGCACCACAGCTCAAAGGCATCAATTCTCCGATGAAAGAAGAAGCTTCATTATCTTTGTCTCCAAGGAGCACTCTGGCTGCACTTTTTCCAAGCTATACCTGTTTGTTCTTTTGGCAGTCACTACTCTTCTCCATA